GATTACCAGGGCAATTGCAGATTGATTACATGATCTAACTGCTTGCACAGGTCTGGTTTCTCCCTCCGTATGTAAGCTGCTTCCAAATAACGCAAGGTTTGAGTTGTATGCGCTCGGCCAAGTACTCGAAAAGATGCTTTAGGGTCGACAACATGACCGCTATCAAACAGGTGTTTCGTTATAGACGAACGCGGAGTTTTGTTTTCCTGTTTGAAAAGCCAATTAGGCAAATGCTCAGCGGCCCTAGTTGCCAATTGCCTTTGCGTACGCCCAATGTACTTGCATCCGCAAATGCATGTGAATTCATACACACAAGTTGGGGTGGCATGCATTGGCAAGGCATCCTTTGCCCGGTTAATTGGAAGGCTTTTTGTGGAACTGATGAAGATAAGCTCTGCTGCGTTGTACATTCTCTCTATAGTGCAACGCAAGCGTCGCTCAATTGCGTTTGAGACGTTGTCACCCTTAAAAGGTAGACATATTATAACGGGCTTCTTCGGAACGGACTGTTCCGTCAACTTTGGCCGTAAATGGTTGCTGTACTTCTGAATGAAGCGTGCAGGATAACCACGATTAAGTAAGGCTTCTCTGATTCGGGTAGTTTCTGTATCTATGGTCTCCCTGGAGCAAATATTTATCGCTCTTTGAAAAAGAGTATGTACTAGATTACGTTTCCATTGTATTGGCGCAAAGTTTTTAAAATGCAAGTATTGCCCTTTCCACGTAATCTTGTGGAAGACGGAGCGTCTTATTGAACCATCATCCTCTCTAAACATGAGGACGTCCAGGAAGGGTAACTTGTTAAACTGCTCCATTTCCATCGTAAATTTAATTTTAGGATGCAGATTATTCATTAGGCAAAGTAGGTCGGAGGCCTCTTCCTTGTTGTCAACAATCGTGAATATATCATCCACGTATCTCCTGTATAATTTTGTCATGTTTAATTCTGATGAGACCTTTTCTTCTAGGTAACCCATAAAAACATCGGCGAGGGTTGGCCCGTCAATTTGTCTGTAAAGTTCCCCATTAAACAGAAATTGAACATCTTTGGTGCAAAGTACCAGCAGATCTCGTAGTAGTTCGGGGGAGAGTCGGGTTTTGGACGCATGGGCGCATATAACATCTATTGTTTCATCCAATGGTACATTGGTAAATAAGGATTCCACGTCTAAAGAGAGCATACACTTGTCGGTGATGTTCTGGTCCTTAATTTCTTCAATGAAATGAAGACTGTCTTTTATCGTGTAGGTGGAAAACAATTGTCGAATTGGTTCTAGCTCCTTGACAAGCGATATTGCTAGTCTGTGTGTAGGTGAATTAGACATAGAAAGAATAGGCCGTAAAGTTGTGTCCTTTTTATGCGTTTTTGGTAGACCATATAGTCTGGGGATATGTGTACCTCTCGGTTTTAGGAGAAGTGCGGTTTTAGTATCGATCAGGTTTCTGTCCAACAACTTTTGAATCTTTTTCCAGACTGAGTCTTCCAATGTCTTGGTTTCATTTTTTGACCCCAATAAATTCTGCTGTACATGCTTGTTTTCAATTCACACCTGGGGAAAAATGCTTCAAATTTCTCAAACAGCACCTCCCCTCGGATATTATTAAGTCTCTGGACAGACTTCTACAATTGCGATGCAGAATAACGAAAGAAAACGCACGGATTTAATTTCTTCAGAATTGAAGTGCATCTTAGATGATCAGAGCAAATTTCATCTAGAGGCGTCTGGCGGAGATCGGTTTGGGCGCAGTGGCTGGCAAAGCTAAACAGGCCGTCTACGCGGCCTGGTCTCCGCAGAATGTGCCGGACTTCCACAGCGGGTGTCAAGGTTATTTTAGTGAGGAGTGCGCTGACTTGCCTACGATTGATTTCCTGGTGTCCGCAGCTCCCATCTCCCACGCACCAGTCGACTGTCAGAATCCGTCAATCATCTGGCGATGAGATTGGGCATATTGGATGACAGAACTAGACAGCCCGTCAGCGTGTGGCATACACGACCTGGTCACCCAGTAATGTATCGGTACACCTCAAACCATATGCGCATTCTGACAAGTCGGGATGCGCCGGCCATACTAGCGACAACGAAACGAACCATATGTTTGCCTCCGGAAGGGGCTCGCTTGCTGCGGGATGTGGCGCGTGGCGTAGAGGGGGTTCATCTGTGAGCTAGGGATGTGCGTGGGACGTGCAGTGCAAGGTGTGCTGATTGGGCCTGGAGTGCGGTTTTTCGAAGATTTTCACGGAATAGACATTTGTTCGAATAAATTCTTGTGCTGACCGAATGCCCAGGCCGGTCTGAGCAGATGGCAGCGGTGCGGCGGATGCATATCGGGGTTCCTGAAACCGATAAGAAGTAGAAACGATCACTGGAACAAAAGCCTCATTCGTCTGATGTGTTGGATTCACGCTGGAACCCATGTGGCGGCTAAGCGGTGATGGTGTACGCTCAGTACGCCACAACTTAAGGCCATATCCCAAAATGTTAGAAGCAGGACGCCATTTGGTTAGGACACTTTATTCTGTACAGAATAGTGAAGGGGAAATTTGGCAACCGGACGAGGATGCGTCCGGCACCGCGGAGGCGGCGTCCGCGAGAGCGACAAGCCCTGTGTCGCCGAAGGTCGCCCCCGCAAAAGTTTCGCTGCAGATTGTTTACTCTATTGTTCTGGACTGTTCCCGCCTGTCTTACCAATCAGCGATAGGAGTTGCGTTGATTGGCTCCGAGCCCACGCGAAGGTTGTGACAAGCCTCGCGTGGTGCAGGCAGAGAATCGACCGACTGCGTGATGCAGACAGTTAATTGCAACGAGACAAATCGAAGCCGGGCAGACGTGCGTGCCATAGCAGGCGGTCGCTGGACGCAGGTGCAGGCGGTAGCGAGAGACGCGACGTAGCCATTATGGCTGTCCACTACACCCATAATCACAGGCAGTATCAGATACAGGTAAGTCATTCACAGGACGTTGCAGTATTTATAGGACGCAACCGCTATGCTACTGTATACTTATGCTAATTAACTGCTCCCCTCCTCATCGAGGATGGTTGCCCGCTGGTGCACTAACCGCTTGATGACCGGCATCCAAGTTGTTAATGGCTGAAACTTTGTCTCTTGTGTTAGCTGTTGGCGCAATAATTGCTAGGCCACCTGGCTCACCGGCATGCGCGCCCCTTGCTCGGCTAATTACTTTGACCAGACTAAGTCTCATCACCGGGTGTCGGGGGGGGGGGGATGTCACTGAATTTGTTGATAGACTGGGGCCCCATGAACCACGCGGCCCGCGCGATTATCACCTCTCGCGAAAATTTCGGCCTCATCGAACTCGTCTCATCACCGGGTCTCGTTGAATGGGCCGCAACTTGAGAACTGACCCCATTTCTTCTCACTTCTGCCGCGTGCTTGGTGATTCGTGTCCGGAATAGTCTTACAGTTTCTCCTGAAACCTGTACACCAGTCTCGGTGCAAAGAACTCAAAAATGCCTGAACAGACCTATACGCGATGCAAACGTGCGGTGGCAGTAAGGACAATATGGGACTGCAACCAGCGAGCTGGCGGCGTGGTTATGTTGTTAGTGGTGGCGACGCTGGCATTGGCGGTGATGGACTTGGTAACGTCGGTGGTCCATGAGTTTTGTCGGTGTAGGAGGTGGATTTGTCATGATGACATCCCGGTACTTTCCGCCGCCATGGACAATTATATGACCGATTAGAGGCATGCGGTGTATAAATGTTGTAAGGCATCAAGGGGGTGTAGGGGTGTCTAGTTGTGGGTTCACGTGACGGTCGTAGAAGGTCATTCACTCGCTCGCAGGTGTAGACTGCGCCTAAGCTAATGCTCATCTGTGGCACATACGGTGGAGCCCGGCCAGTAAATTGTGCGTGAATTAGTCTATAGTAATAGTAGACTTGCGCTGCAACTACCACACTCCCTCCTCTCCACCTGATCCCGGTGTCAAGACATAGTTAAGAAGGCCGGAGGCTGAGGAGGACGCAGGTGATGGCACAGTCGAACCCGCACCTTGACGCTCCACTCCACACCCCCTGGTCCACACAGAAAATGACCAAGTTTTTTAACTAACAACAACAATGGGGGGCTGGCACGACCGAAGCCGCACCTAGGCGTGCCGTCACACCCGACTCGGATTCCACGGAGCGAGAGTGTCATAAAGGCCACATTAAGAAGAAGTCATTGCAGCCTGACTCCTTGACAACCATCCGGTCGCTCCGCACACAAACCCACAACACTGGGCCGACTGCGAGGTCGAAGTTATCGCGTCGGATGGCAACCTTCTAAACCAGGGCTTTTAGCGCACCGAGATAGCTTCAAGCGCGTCAGATTGTTTATAGTGATAAGAATTCGCTGAGTCGTCGACCTCACTCTCCCTTCTCATTACCAGGCCCCAGCTACTGTCCGAGCCGGTCACTTGACTGGTACGGGGAATGGGTGCGGTGGCTGGCATATCTAGTGACCGTGCCTGCGCGCGTCACATGCAAGACCAAGTCCCCCAAACACGCACAGACACACCAGGATTTCACACGACGGGAGTTGAGAGGCGTACATCTCATATGCGTGAGAGTGCCAGATGTCACGTTGAGAAGGAGGTATGACGGCTTAGCTCTCAGTCCATCAGTCCGGTGGCAGTTGGGTGCTTGCAATGCCTGACATTGCTGCGTGGTGCAGGTGCTCGTGAGGGAGGGCGTTATGGCCGTCAGTTGTCTTCCGTAGGTTTTCATGAACGCGCATGTGGCCTAATAGGCCCATGCGGTGAGTGAAGGTGCGAGGGCAGTGTGGACAGTGGAGGTGACTGCGCCGAGTGTAGGTTGGTGCTCCAGGCACTGATTCGCCAGTCTCTGTGCGATGGATTCGCAAGTGACCGACCAGGTGATGTGTGAGATGCGGTCGCAATGAGGACACGTATAGACCGAGTCCACATCGCTAGTGTTTACGGTGTGTCGGCTGATGTTTGTTAGTGCGTCTGGATTGAGTGCAGGAGTGGTGGGTACATCAGCTGCTGCAGCAGATTATGAAGCGATGGAGGAGGAGGAGCATAGTAGTGGGTTTCGGGAGTGCGTTCAGTGTTAGTTGCCAGTGTGGGGACGAGGCTTTTGTCAGATCCACGAATGTAGAGTACAGGTGGGTCCTCATCCCCTGACACTTCTCCTGCAGTTGACGGGTGTTGAAGGTCCTGTCGGTGGTGCTGTGATGACGGCGGAGACCGCACTGACTTTCTGGCAGGAGACCCTGTTCCAGATGGTTGTTCAGGCGATTAAGAAGGATGCAAACGAAGGTCTTCCTGGCGATGTTCAGCAGAGAAATACCTCGGTGGTTGTCGCAGATTTGGCGGTTCCCTTTGCGCTTGTAGAGATAGATTATTGTGGCGTCCTTAAAATCCTGCGGGACTTCTCCTTGACGCCACATCTCCTGGAAGAGCGCCATCAGTTGACCCATGAGTTGGCGACCACTGTGCTTGTAGATTTCAGCTGGGATCGCGTCTGATCCGGACGTTTTCCCGGTAGAGAGATGGCGCACGCCCCTGATGGTTTCGTGGAGGGAGGGCAGGAGGTCGAGGTCGGCGTTGGTCTCCACTTGTGGCAGTCGATGGCGGCGTTGAAGATGGTAGAGGGATGGTTGAGGACGCCTCTGAAGTGTTCGGCCCATCGCTGTAGGATTTGTTTGTTATCGGTGAGTAGGGTACATCAGTCGGCGCTGAGAGGAGGATCGGTTGGCTTGGTTGACGCATCGTAGACAGACTTGATCGCGGTGAAGACGTTCTTCCATTTGCTGCTGTTTGTGTAGACTTGGATCTCCCCAGCCTTGCGAGCCGTCCAGGCGTCCTATATTTTATGCAGTCGCTGTTGCAAAAGACGGCGCCTTTGGTGGAAGGTTGCTTTGTTGTCGTCGGTGAGGCGAGTTACGTAGGCTTTGTGCAGACGGTTCTTCTCGGCGAGCAGGTCGCTGATAGTGGCGTCGTTGTCATCGAACCAGCCTTGGTGTTGGCGACGTGAGCGACCGAGGACAGTCAGGGCCGTCGGTTGGACTTTGTCTCGGAGTTGGCACCATCGGTTCTCAACGGAGGCGGTCAAGTCAGCGGAGTGGTGGCGACTGGAAGGTTGACTAGCCGCTGAGCTGGCTCATTCCTGAAGTGGGGATGGTGAGCAGGCAAAGACAACAAAACAATATCCAGCTTACCTGGTGGTCGCTTACCTTGAGGTTTTTTGCGAGGCTGTAGGCGAATCCGCATTTTGGAGATGACGAAACGATGGTCGGTGCGTCCGTTAACATCCGGAATCGCCTTTGTCAACAGAAGGTTCCACTGGTCTCGCCTCCGGACGAGGACATAGTCCAGAAGGCGCCAGTATTGCGACCGAGGGTACATCCAGGTTGCCATCGCCCACGTCAGACGGCGGAAGTAGACGTTGGCCAGGATGAGTCGGTGTTCTGCGCAGGTTCGTAGGAGGAGCAGGACATTGTCGTTGAAGCCACCGAGAGCATGAGGACCCAG